GGACATAGGGATTATATCACTGCCACTGTGGCTGAGCCTCAGAATAAATGATACAGGGAAGAGGGAGCACCCACCCAGTACACTCACTTGTAGAGTCACATTCTGCCTCATTTCCTATCTTGCCAGACAAGGAAAACAGACATTGAACTGAGTGTTTAGTAGTATTTGGTGTTGGAGTCAAACTGCCTGCGTTCCAATTCTGGCTCAGTTGGGTACCATCTGTGTAGCCTGGAGCGTGTTAATGAACCTCTCTGAGCTGCTCCAGTTCATCTGTAAATGGGGAGAGATGACAGTGCCTGTGGCTGCCTCATAGGACTGTGGTGTCTAATAAATAAGGAAATTCGTGTAACGAGTTTGCACAGTGAATGCTTAATAAATGTTAGCTATCAATAACTCTTATTTTAAAAAATTCAAATGGATCTACATTAAGAAGACTGAGCGTCTACTGTACACATACCCTATGCTAGGGGGTGACGTGGGGACTATAAATCACTAGGAAGAGGGGTGTAAATGGAGGAATCAGGGAAGAATTCAAAGACTCTTGAGCTGGGACTCGAGGGATGGGTACAGGATGGATAGGGAGATGTGGGGGGGATTCTAGGTGTGGGAACAGAGCGAGTAAAGGCGAGTAAAGTGGGGGACAGTGCAGGGGAACCAGCATTTATTCTCATTCTGCTGGAGGGTAAGGAACCCAAGAGAGAGGAAGAGGCATGGTATGAGAAGTGGCTGTGTGGGCCAGCTCATAAACTGACTTTTTGATGAGGGTCTAATTAATTCATTGCCAAGGAAAAGGTAATTCAAGTTTTACCTGATGTTTGATTGTGCAATAGCTCTACACAGCCCACACCAACTCCTGCCACACCTTCAGTCAACTCTGGCCGTTTTCACCTTACATGGATTGGTTCTTTTTTTTTTTTAAGATTTTTTTGATGTGGACCATTTTTAAAGTCTTTACTGAATTTGTTACAATACTGCTTCTGTTTTATGTTTTGGTTTTTTGGCCACGAGGCAGGTGGGATCTTGGCTTCCCGATCAGGGATCGAACCCCCACCCCCTACATTGGAAGGTGAAGTCTTAACCACTGGACCACCAGGAAAGTCCCCATGGATTGGTTCTTGATTCTGCATTTGTAGATACTGCTTGAGACTATCCCCTAATTCCTAGAGAATGCTGGTTGTTATAGAAACCAAATACTTTAAAGGAAAAACCTAGAGTTTGTCAAGGATATAAATTCAAAGGCAAAACCCATGGCACTCGACCAAATCAATACCCATCCATGTGGCATGCTATGAAGCTTTAATTACTGTGCTCATGATCAATGTAACATTACTCAAGAGTGGAGAAGCCAAATGTAAATGAAGGAGGTCTTCCTTAAACAGGTGATGACCAACTCCCTGAGTTCAGCCAAGAGTCCCACGGTATTTATACACAATCACCTGACGGCCTGTAAGCACTCACATAAGCAGGAAAGTGTAGAATTGTGTTGTGGTACATGCAGGACAAAATTTATGAGGTGGTGCTCACAGAACATACAAGGGAGACATTTAAAAATTAAAAAAAAATTTTTTTTTAAAAATTTTATCAATATTTTAAAAATGGAAGTAATAGTTGATTTACAGTGTTGTGTTAATTTCTGCTGTGCAGCAAAGTGACTCAGTTATACATATATGTATTCTTTTTTTAATATTCTTTTCCATTATAGTTTATCATAGGATATTGAATATAGTTCCCTGTGCTATACAGTAGGACCTTGTTGTTTATCCATCCTATAAATAATCGCTTACATCTGCTACCTCCAGCCTCCCACTCCATTCCTCCCCCAACCCCTTCCCCCTTGGCAACCACCAGTCTGTTCTCCATGTCAGTGATTCTGTTTCCGTTTTGTAGAAAGGTTCATTTGTGTCATATTTTAGATTCCATGTATAAGTGATACCATATGGTATTTGTCTTTCTCTTTCTGACTTACTTCACTTAGTATAATCTCTAGTCGCATCCATGTTGCTGCAAATGGCATGATTTCGTTCTTTTTTATGGCTGAGTAGTATTCCATTGTATACATGTACACAATGAGTTGCATACAAGAATACTAATGGCACAGGAAAATGGTCTGTGGCGGAAGGCAGAGCATCCTTATACATGCAGCTCCAGGGAGGCTGCGGCCTTAAGGCTGTGATTCCAAGCATTACACCTAGAGCACAGTTTGAATATTTGCTAATATCTCTACTGTTTACTGTTTTCAAACTTAATTATACAACAATCTAAAATACCGGCCATATGTTCTACTCCTCTAGGGAGAGGAGGAGACGGATGGGGCCAGAGGGTCTTTTCATTGACCTCTATTTTGGGAAAGATACGGACAAGAAAGTGGGTTGGAGTTGGGAAAAAAGATTGCTTTAGGGACTTCCCTGGCGGTCCAGCGGTTGAGACTTTGCCTTCCAACGCAGGAGTTGTGGGTTCAATCCCTTGTCAGGGAGCTAAGATCCCACATACCTTGGGGCCAAAACACCAAAGCATAAAACAGAAGCAGTATTGTAACAAATTCATAAAGACTTTGAAAATGGTCCATATCAAAAAAAAAATCTTAAAAAAGAAATAGATTGCTTCATTAGCCCATAGATTGGCAACTAGCAACCCTGGTCTCTGTTGTTCTATTTTTCATGATTTAATCCAGAATGACGATAAACAACTTATTTCCTTGGCTCCTGTCCCTCTCTTTTCTTTTCTTTTTTTTTCCTTTCTTTTCTTAATTCACTGTTTGATGCCATCCCATCAGTCACCTGTGTCCTCACTGTGGGGCAGGAGACTGAAAGCCCTCCTTTTTCCACCCGATGATGCTCCACTGTTTGGGGTTTTTAGGGATAGACGAGAGCAAAGGAACAGGAGACACTGGAAGAGAGGCAGCAACGTGCTCCCGAACCATTTGCATTGGCTCGGAAGTGAAAATGCAGAATTAAAACCTTTAAGATCCTCTGCAACCTGGCTTCAACCCATCTCTCCAGCTGTCTCTCACTTCTCACCTTCCCTAACTCGATTCCAGATGTACACACCTAGTCATCATCCCTTTGCAGAAAACCCTGGAGATTAGCTACCCCAAAGCCATTCTGAAAATCATTCTCCTCTGCTGCTCCCCGCCATAGAGGCTGGAAAGCCAAACACACACACTTTCCCCATCTCCGTGGCAGGTATGGGTGGCTCCAAGTGTCAGTTCTGGTCCATTAGATGTAGGTGGAAATCTGCTAGGGCAACTTCTGGGAAAGCTTCTGTTTCCTCATAAAATGGGACAGATGCAGCTAATACAGCCTTTCCTTCTCTCCCCTTTTCCAACCCTGAACATGGATGAGATGGCAGGAGCTTTCAGCCATCTTGTAATCATGAGGGAAATATCAAGGTGACCTCAGAGATTCCAGCTGGACATCATTGAGCCACCGAAATACCACCAACAGCTACTTGCCTTCAGAATCTTAGGATGTGAGGAAAAATTAAAATTTATTTGCAGAAGCCAGGGAAAGAGCAAGGTGAGTACAGAGATGTAAGCACTGAGCCACTGACCTATCTCTAGATGTCCTGCTCCATGAGAAAATAGAATTTTATTAGCTTAAGCTACTGCTGGTTTAGTTTTCTGTTACTTACAGCTTAATTCATTCTTAAATGATGGATGACCCTGAACTGAGTGCTGGGGATATAATGGCGAACAAAGCAGGTGCGGACCTCTTTCCTATCAAACATATTATCAAGTGTGAGAGATGGAAAAAAAGGAAATGAGTAAGTCCAAACATTACAAACGTTGGGACTCTCAGCTCCTCATGTGCATGGGGGTCATGACAGCACCTCCCTCATAAAGTGTGCATGGAAGGCACCCAGCATGGCCTCTGACAGCAGTCAAGGCCGGTAGCCACTGTGATTTCCCAATGATCTTCAGAAAGGGGGAAGCCCATCCCCTAGAAGAGACCACTGTTTTGAAAGGCGGCCAGGAAAGGTGAAGACATAGCTCTCATTCCTCTTTAGCAAACCCCACGGAGAGCTGTTGACAGGGCTGGCCCTGCGCACCCTGGGAGGATGGCACACCCTCCCAGTGCTGTGACCCACTGGCTCTCATCCTTACTGGCTCACCCAGGCACTTGGTTCCAGCTTAGCTACTTTCCCCACCGCCCCTCACAGCCTTGAGTCCCCTTTCCTTCTCTGCTGGCCAAGATGCACATTGATTCTTTCACTTCTATCCTCTTCAGTTAATGAAACTGGACCCCAGCTTTTCTAACCTCATCTCATCATCCTGCATAAACCCTCTGGGCAGGTCTTTCCGTCTCCACGGTTATTCATCTGGAGTAGTGATTTTTCTTCTTGGTCTATCTTTGTGGTCCCTGGAACCCTTTGTGGCCCACAGCTGCAAACAGTTTCTCAACTTCAGAGGATGGAATCACTGTGACACGGTCACGGTAAGTGTCTGTGGTTTAGAGACGATCAAGCATGTGGTGCATGTCCTCCTTCCCTGGGATCTTTGGGCTTCTATTCTGAAGGACTTTGGAACTGTAAACACAGGATTCCTGCGACAGTAAACACCATCAATAGTATCTATACACCTGTGGAATCTTGGAAAATAACTACACTTAGGGTTCGTCTCAGCTGTTTAAGTCAAAGATCTTTATTTCCAGTTTCTTTTTAAAGAAAGCTCTTATAAGAATCAGAGATGAAAATACGATTCAATAATTTTTAAAAATCAGTTTTTAGGGATCCAGAGAGCTGGGAAAATGCTGCTGGGTTTTTCTGGTCTACCACGGAATTTTCTAAGTCATTTAGAAGGACGCATATGTATCGTGGGTGCCTTATTTCCCTCCACGAGAACAAGAGCCTCAGGATCTGGAACGTGCTTCTTTCAGGAAATTGGCAGTGACTGATTGGCTCTGAGGGAAAGTCGGCCCTGCTGGAGCTGCACATGGAACTTCATTTCCTCCTGGAGGAAGTGGGCACAGACGCAAGCATCCAGGGAGCTCTAGTTCAGCCAATTATTCATTGCTCTTCACCAGCCAGACCTCGTTGCGACGTCCGTAGGGCTTCATGGGAGGGTCATACCCAGTGCAGAAGTAGAAGTCACTCCGGCAGGTGGCTGTACCCTCCAGGGTGGTGCGCAGCTGGGCGGCATGAGCTACGTAGTCAGTTGCCCTGGCATAACCGCCAAACTGCCTGCGGACACAGAGTAAGTCACTGGTTCAAAAAGGACAGGGTCTCAGAGAGATGTGGGGATTTCAAAAGAGTCACTCACTACTCTTATTACGACAAGCATGCTCTAGTTGTTAAGATTTCAGATCTGCCCCTTCCTATAGGGGTGGACTGAATCTCACCGATCGTGAGCCTCGTTTGTAAAACAGGGATATGTTTCCTTTTTCTTCCAATCGGTTATGAGCATTAACTACAATCACGGATGTAGAAAACTCTAATGCAGGGCCTGAAACACACTACATTCGGCCCTCTGCATCGGGGGGGTTCTATACCCGCAGATTCAACCAACTGCAGATTGAAAATATTTTGGGGAAAAAAAAAACGTTCCAGAAAGTTCCAAAAAGCAAAACTTTAAATTTGCCACGTGCCATCAACTATTTACATAGCATTTACAGTAATAGGTATTATAAGTAATCTAGATATGATTTAAAGTAGATGGAAGGACATATGTAGATTATATGTGAATACTACACCACTTTAGATAAGGGACTCAGGCATCCTTGGATTTTGGTATCTCTGAGGGTCCTGGAACCAGTCTGGAACCAGTACTGTAGTCGGTACTATAGGCGAGCTTCCCTTCCCTTTCGGAAGTTTCCTGAAGAGATGGGAGGCTGACTTTTCCCAATGCCATGTCTTTACCCTTTTCTCTAGCTTCCTCTGCTGCCCAAGTCGCCTCTCATCCCTGCCTCTCTGTCGCCAGCTGGAGGGGGGGAGAACCAGGGGAGTTAGGGTGGGGCTGGAGCTCATGTTTCTCCCACTGCAGAGCAGTTCTAAGGACAAGTAGCAGCTTTGTTAAAAAACAGAGCTACCTTGTGACCACCTAGAGGGGTGGGGTAGGGAGGGTGGGAGGGAGACTCAAGAGGGAGGAGATATGGGGATGTATGTATACGTAGAGCTGATTCACTTTGTTATGAAGCAGAAACTAACACACCATTGTAAAGCAGTTATACTCCAATAAAGATGTTAAAAAACAAAAACAAAAGAAAACAGAGCTACCAAAGGCAGGGCCCCTAGGCAAGCTTTAAGCATGCCTGCCCCAAGTAAGGAAATCACTTCAGGGCTTCCCGGGTGGCGCAGTGGTTGAGAGTCCGCCTGCCGACGCGACGCAGGGGACGCGGGTTCGTGCCCGGTTGCAGCTGGGCCCGTGAGCCGTGAGCCGTGAGCCGTGAGCCGTGAGCCGTGAGCCGTGAGCCGTGAGCCGTGAGCCGTGGCCGCTGAGCCTGCGCGTCCGGAGCCTGTGCTCCGCAACGGGAGAGGCCACAGCAGTGAGAGGCCTGCGTACCGCAAAAGAGAAATCACTTCTAATAGATCCCTTCTCCTGCTCAAATCAGGAAAGCCTTCCTTTTCTAGTAAGTAAAGATGATTTTTCCTAAATCAGGCTTTTCTCTTGATGGCAGAAGGTGGAGACAGAGAAGCAATAAAGTTTGTCTTTTCACGACTATTATTCTCTCCTTACGTCACCTGCCTTCACTCCAAAATTCATCCTGTGACCTACCCTAAATATACCACTCCAAATCTGGGGCTGCATTACAATCTTTACTAGCGTCAAACACATGCCCATTTCTAACGAGCTTTATGACTCAAAGGTCTGAATCTGCACCAAGCCAAGATTCGGCCAAATGCATTACTTTGGGTGGGGTTCTCTGACTCACGCTTTGCTCTTTTATAAGCAGTTAGTCATGCTCGCTAGCATTCAGCACATTGATTACAGGGTTACTGCTTTGAAAATACCCAGGATTTCATCTCTAAAGAGTTGGTTATTCTAATATCTAGACAATAGTTACAGAACATGGACAGGGCTGAGACCAATTTGGGAGACAGGAGGCTTGGTCCTTCAAGTCTATTGAAGAAAGATTATAAGGCAGATGGAGAAAGGTGAGTTCTAGCTTCACTGAGGCTCAAATGAGATAAAACTGGATTAGGAGGCAGAGGATGAATATTAAGGAAGGATTGTTCTCACAATAAAAGCCTGTAAGACACTGGGCTTATTTTCGAAGAATGTCTATAGATTGAGGACCCCCTGTCTGAAATGAATCAGATGCTGGATGGGGGTGGGGTGATCAGGTGTTAAATGCCTCTGCAGCCCCCTCTCACGCTGTGATACTAAGCTGTTTTCTGCGTAAATCGATGATGTTGGCTCTTTAAGCTACTGGTTTCTACAAACATCCAAAGGAGTGGTCCTCAAATATCTTCATTCATCAGTTGAGAGGCAAAATGGCTAGTTGTGTGCTCACATCCTACCTCTGCCTCCGTCTAGCTCATGGTCTTGGGCAAATGCTTGCATTTCTCTAACCTTCAGGTCCTTCATCTGTTCAGTAGGAATGAGGGCGTCAATTTCAGAAGGCTGTTGTAAAGATCAAAAAAGAGAAAACCACGCAAACTCCTCACTCAGCCTCCTGCCCATCACGTGGGAAACGCACAGCAAACAGTAGCTATTGTTACGTTGCAATTTGTTCAGAACAGTCGTTCAGTTCCCTGATGCCCAGAACTGACGCCCGAGGTGAGGGACAGAATGGTGATGTAAAGTAAGATCCTGAACCTAGCAAGACTTCACGTTGATAGGCCTACAGATGAGGGCAAAGTCTGTTGGCCTCCATCTTCACTCACTCACAGAATAAAATCTGAAGCACCTACTAAGGGCACAGTGGTGGGGATTCAAGCAAAGTGGATGGACTGGGGCCATGTTGGAAAGGGCCTTGAAGGGCACGCTAAGGACTCTGAGCCTGACCTTAGATGCAAAGGTGGACTCAGGAAGGGGTTTTAAAGTTAAGGGACTGCCGTGATCGGACTGTATTTTGGAGAGACCTCTCTGGGGTCGGGGGGTGGAGGGATGAGGGGAAGGGAGTCACGGGAGGCCAGAAACAGCTGATGGAGAGATGATGAAGCCCTGGACAAAGGCAAATGTGGGAGGTGAGCGTGGGGTGGGGAGAGGCCAGGGCGGGGCTGGGGTGGAGGGAGTCAAGGATTCTCCAGGGCTTCCAGTTAAGTCTGTGAATGGAAACTGACACCGCCAACCAGAAGAGGGATTCGGGGCTGAAGAGCCCCTTTGGAGACGAGGGGCGGGTAGGTTTTTCATCTGGTTTGGGGCATATTTCTATGAAGGTGCCTCGATGAAACGAATTCGTGCAACAATTATTGAGCCCCTAAGTGTGTGCTGGGCACTGTGAAATCTCCCTAGACTTGGGCAGGAACTGGAGTCAGAGATACGACTGGGGAAAGAGACGGGTCTAGCGACAGAAACTTGGGCGTCACCTGTGAGTGGGTGCTGGCTCTGGTCAGAGTGAAGGGGGCGATGAGGCCCAGATGGTGAGCGTACAGAAAGTCAGCAGGCTGCTCTCAGAAATCCTAGTCCCCCGGTGCTGGGAGGAGGATGACGACTCAGCAAAGGCCGCTGAGAAGGACCCACCTGAGTCCAAGGAGACCTGGCAGAGAGTGATGCGGAGAACGTCATCGTTCAGGGATTCTTAAATCCATTACCAGAAAAAAGAAAAAAAAACCCTTGACTTTTTCTATTTTTTCCCAGGCTGACTAAGATGCTTATAATGAGGATGAAAATTTCCCTATTGCTTCATCAAGGAAGCATTCTGCTGGGAAACTAGCAAAGCTGGATGAGCTGCGGAACAGATCCGCACGTGCTCCCCGCTGCCAGTCTAACCAGCTGACCCGAACCCCCATCACAGAACCGCACGAACAAGCCAGAAAGCCAAACCCTCCCAGGTGCAGAGCCCTAAGATGTGAAGGAGGCCCGGCTCTGGCTGCCTCGTTCCCCAGGGCTCAGCTTCCACGCAGCACTCGGAGAATAACCACGCTGCACCCCCAGCTCTCCGAGTCCACGGGCACATCTGAGTGTGAGTTAAGGAATGCTCGTAAAGCGCTCTGAGCTTCTCAAAGGAAAGAAACAGGAAGTCTACACATCATTTCTGCGAGCCTGTTAACAAGTGTCTAAGTCTCCCTCTTCAAAGCTGCTCACCACCAGGGCTCTGTAGTCAGAGCTCAGTATTCCCAGGAATTTGGTTACCATGGGAGCTGAGGAAGGACACACATGCCCTGGATTCCAGAAATACAAAAGGAACTGTCTATGTCATGAAGAACCTAGGGGCAAGACGGGAATAAAGACACAGACCTACTAGAGCATGGACTTGAGGATATGGGGAGGGGGAAGGGCAAGCTGTGACAAAGCGAGAGAGTGGCATGGACATATATACACTACCAAACGTAAGGTAGATAGCTAGTGGGAAGCAGCCGCATGGCACAGGGAGATCAGCTCGGTGGTTTGTGACCACCTAGAGGGGTGGGATAGGGAGGGTGGGAGGGAGGGAGACGCAAGAGGAAGGAGATATGGGAACATATGTGTATGTATAACTGATTCACTTTGTTATAAAGCAGAAACTAACAGACCATTGTAAAGCAATTATACTCCAATAAAGATGTTAAAAAAAAAAAGGAACTGTCTAAACAGGTCTGGAAGAGTTGGGGTGTGGGGGGGATGATGCAGGCGTCATGGAGGTGGGTTAATAGACGGAGACTTTGGTCCAAGGTCCGAAAAATCAGAACGTGTTATCTTTCAGGGAGTGCTTGGAGCGGGCACGCAGCGAGGAATAGGAGAGAATGGAATGACTCTGAGGCTGACCATCCGACGTGGCCTAGAACTTGCACAATCAACAGGTCAGCACAGATCTGTGGAGAGTCTGCCACGCACATAGCCCTGTGCTGAGCAGGAGAAGCATAAGCCGAAGAGCTGATAATTCCACATCAGCAGG